TGCGGTGCCGGCATGCCATACGGGCGCTGGTTCTAGTCCCAGTTGCTCCTCTTCCAGTCCAGCTCTCTGCTGTGGCCTGGGAAAGCAGTGGAAGATGGCCCAAGTCCTTGGACCCCTACACCCATATGGGAGACCTGGAAGAAGCTCCTGGCTCCTGGTTTTGGATTGGCACAGCTCTGGCCGTTGCAGCCATTTGGGGAGTGAACCAGCAGATGGAAGACCTTTCTCTGTCTCTCCCTCTCACTGACTGTAACTCTACCTCTCAAATAAATAAATAAAATCTTAAAAAAAAATATGTACCCACCTAACATACAAATTAACGCTGAATTTCAACCTACTTCAGTTAATAAACATTACCACAGTTATTACAAATTGATAAATTGTACCTCCAAGGGAAACTCCAGATCTTGCAAGAAGGGTTATACAGAATAGGATCAGGAGTGCAATTATTATAGAGGCTCAGATTTGTTACAGAAGTGAAAGAAGATATTGATATGACTGTATAAAAGGAAGAATAGGCAAGGATTTTCATTGATAGTGAAAAACTTTCAATCAGATATTTTTAACTACTTATTGTTAAAGATTATAACTTTGCTGTTCAACATTTGTGTCAATAAAATTGGCAGAACACAGACAAGGTGATCAATACCAAGATATACAGAATAATGGATTGAGAAAATAATGAACTACCTTATTATTTTCCTATTTCATCAGTTAGTGTAAGACAAAGAAAAAACACATCAAAGCAGGTATTTTTTTAGAGAATTTGCCTCATTTTTACCATTTCTCTGAGGTTTGAGTCCTTTCTTCGAAATGTAAATTGCAGCAATGAAATAGTGAAGTATTCTCAATACATTTTTTAAAACTTCTCCTTCACCAGCCCTTGAGAGTGACAATGTTGTTCTGCTCAACACCATGACACCAGGTTGTGGTAGCAGTTATTTCTAATATACTGAGTGATGGCTTGGGCTGCCTGCGTGTTGCTTTCTGAAATTGTAATGAATAAATTTCTTCTCCTTCTTTTCTGCTCAGTCCGCAGCCCACTTTCTACTATCTCAGTTTACCATTTATATGCCAAGCTCTGACTTCTAAAATATTTTGCTACAGCTTCTAATCAGTTCATTACACATTATATTGTACAGACATGAAATAACACCATTCTTCATTTCATAAAATGAAATGTAAATGAAATAATTTGTGTACAAGCTTTAGGATATTGATTGAAAAACAGTGACCTTTTAGATGTGGTAGAAAGTTGTTATTTCCAAGAAATTTCCTTATTTTCTGTTTACCTGGAACCGAGTCTTGCTATTTTGATTCTGAATTAATTACACTGAGCATACTGACCAGTTTAGGGGAACTGTCATCTTAGTAATTTTGTGTTTCCTAATGCATAAGTGAAATATTTCACCATTCAGTTATCCTTTAATTTCCCTCTGTAGCTTCTATTGTACAGACCATATATTTTGGGACTAATTATTACTATAGCCATGCATATTTGCATATGTAAATGACAGTAATTTTATTTTAGTTTTTATTGTTACTATGTAGAGTTATAAACACTTTTTGCATTGATTTTCTAATAGTTCCTGGGATCAGTTTAGTTTAATATTTGTTACATAGCTGATCATATAGCACGTGAAGAGATACAGTTTTACATCTTATTATCTGACCTCTGTGGCAAGTTTTTTTACTGAGTCTGTGTAACAATAAGATACCTTTTCCTCTTTTCTAGTCTGGGGGCTGGTCAGGATTCTATCTTTTACCACCAATGTTTGATTTGAGTTTTATAACAGGCAGCTGTTCAACATGGTCAGGCATTTTGCACATATTTATGATGATTTTCCATTATTATGTTAACATTTTGAAGTTTATTGTCATAACATTTTGTGGTTATGAAATGTAGCCTTTTTGTATATTATTGGCTTCCCGATGTTAATGATTTGTCTACTAAAAAGGAGTTTGTTCTTCAGTTTTCTCGTATTTGAGGGCTTCCTCTGGTTTTGGTATTATAATAATGTTTGTCTTATCATAAACCTGATATCCACTTTTTGTTTTATAAAAGAGTTTGTACAACATTAGTTTTTATTTCTTTACTCACTATTTGACAGAATCTGCCAGCAATGCAGTCTAGTCTTGGGATTTTCTTTGTGGAGTGATAATTGTTAGTTGTGTTGTTCCTATGAATTCAATTGCTTTAAAAAGTATGAGAGGATTTTTCGCCTCTAGTTAATGTGATGAAAAGGGACTGCATGTAACAATGGAAAGACTGTAAAATAGGTGTTATACCATGATGTTTCATGCATACGAGCGCCACCCAAGAGAGATGGAAAACAAGTGAGGTGAGCACCACAGTTGCCTAAGATTATTACACTGGATGAGTTTCCACAGTGCAGACAACGTACAGATTCCACATTTGGCAGAATGTGGAACAGAACGTGTAGATTATGAAACTGTCCAAAGCTGGTGTCAGAACCACCGGGAAGGATTAGAGGGAGCAGTTTCTGGAGCTTCCACGGGACTGAGAACAGTTTCTGTTCCCACTGGCTACGTGGAGAAAGCGTGTCGTCTATAGGACATGGGGTAGAACACTCAGAAGGGGCTGGCCGCAGTGATGTACAGCGATGAGCGATGGCACAGGAGTCTCAGCCCAGGAGCAACACGATTCTGATTCTTCCTAATAAACATTAAAAGTAAATCCTGAAAGGACAAGCTGTTTCAAGTAATTTAATTTTGCCCCAGAAAATGTCTCAAGAGTATTTATAGGAATAAAAATGTATCTCACATCCAGCATCGTAAAATTCTAATTGCCTGGGGGTCAGGCGTCTGGAATCAGAGTAGCTGTTTGGTTCTGATTCATGAGGCTGCAGCCAAGATGTTGGTCAAGATTCACCGTCACAAAGCTTGACCAGGGCTGAGTGAGGTATTTCCAAGGTGGCTCACACATGCTCACACATGACTTTGGGTGGGACAACTCGATTCCTTGCCTTGTGTATGTTTCCATAATGCTAGTTTAGTGTCTATGAAAAGAAAGGTAGCTTCCTTCCAACACAGTGATGCAGGAGTGAGAGCAAAGAGGAACCATAATGCTATTGGTAGTCTGATCTTGGAAGTCATGCCTCACAACTGCTGCCACACGTTAGTCATTAGGGTCAGTAGGTGCTGTGTACCGTCCAAAGGACAGGAATGGATCCCCACTTTTTGAAGGCAGGAGAATCAAATAAGCTGTGTTCCTATTTTTATGTTTTGTAAAGATTTATGTATTTATTTGAAAGAGTGGGGGGGCACTCCATTATTAGAACAAACAAATCTTTGACCTGCTGTTTCACCTCCCAAATGGCTACAGCAGTAGAGGCTGGGCCAGGCCAAAGCAAAGAGTAGTGAATTCCATTCAGGTCTCCCACATGGGTGGCAGGGACTCAAGTCCTTCAGTCATCATTTTCTGTTTTCTAAGTGCACTGGATTGGAAGCAGGATAGTTGGGAGTTGAAACAACACCCTGCTATGGAGTGGGGGCATTGTGAAGGGTGAGAGGAGAGGCAGAAAGAGAGAGAACTCTTCCATCTGCTGGTTCACTCCCCAGTTGGCCACAATGGCTGGAGCTATGCTGATCAGGAGCCAGGAGCTTCCTCTGGGTCTCCCATGCGGTGCAAGGACCCAAGGACTTGGGCCAACTTCTACTACTTTCCAGGCTATAGTTGAGAGCTGGATCGGAAGTGGAGCAGCCAGGACTCGAACTGGCACCCATAGAGGATGCCAGCACTGCAAGTGGTAGCTTTACCCTCTAGGCCACAGCGCTGGCCCTACAAATTTATCTTGAAATCCACCTTCAACTATTCACATGGATAAGAAAATTTCAAATATATGTCCCAGTGATCCTAGCTCCACAGCATAAAACCAGAGTTGTTGACAAATAGAGGAATCACTCTGAGGCTCTGTTTAAGCATTTGTAAAGTAAGGATGAAAATGACCTACTAATGTGACTTTCACCTTGCGGCAGCCTTATGGAAAGCTATTAGTTTGGAAGCAGACCAATCTTAAGTGACAGTAAGAATTCTTAAAATGTTTTGATAAATTGGGAATTCTCTTTATTTCCTTCTGTCAATTATGAGTCATGATAAAATGTGAGATATTTAAGTTAGAGGAAGAGAACAACATGAGTTGAGTCATCAAGTCCAGAAAGCAGTAGCTTCTCTGTGGAGCTGTGAGTAAGTCTATTTAGTTTTAGAGTGGCAAGTGAAATAGAAAATAATTGTTGCTACGGGTGGAAAGGGATGAAGAAAAATGTGTCCGTAGGGGAGTCAGGTATGTGTGCATTGAATGCTAACCCATGGATTTATGAGTTTTTTCAGCAAGTGATGGCAAGCAAAACAAGTATTCAAGCAGAGAAATAACTGAATTAGAGATGAAGTCACCATTTTATTTATAAGTACAATTAACTCTTAATTGCATTGGGCCTTATTAATATAATTAAGCTTTTAAATGTTGGTCGCTGAGTAGTGCCAGAGAAAATTACATAATTGTTAGAATTAGTGCCACACAAGTTTATGTTCCCTAACTTTGCTAGTACCACCAGGAGTGCCATCAGCACTGCTCTGCAATGCAAACCCCTGATCAGCAGCTGTTTATCTTCCCAGAGCTTATGTAAAAACCCTTACCAGTAAGCCACTACCCTGTATATTGAAATTCTAAAGTTCCTTTTGATTTCACAAAGACCTAAGCTTTAGTAAAATAGTAACAGTTACAGAATTACAGTGTAAGGTTGAACTGTCAGCAGTTGATCTCAATTACGAAACCTTGATCCACAGGAAGGATAGAATTAGGGTACGTACTGAACAGTGGGTAACACATTATAACACTTTATTGAAGACTATAAAATTGATTATGCATCTTAGGAAACTACAGTGTATTTTCCAAAATACCAAACATTGAATCTATCTTAAAATACTGCAAATTAAGGTTCCCCCCTGGTTTTTTTTTTTTTTTTTTCAATCTTCCCAGGATGAAGAAGCAGGGAAAAATGAGATTTCACTTGTAGATTTTCAGTTTCATCTCTGGAGATGAAGTGGTAAGTCACTATTTTATATTGACTAAAGGAATATATAATAACTGAGGAAGACATATGCATTGCAATCATCAAATATGTACATATCACAAGCTATGAAAGTTGTGAAGGGAGGTGAAATTCCCTTGGACGGATTCCTGGGAATCTAAGATACTTCTCTTCAGCATCACCTCAGTCATGCCAGTGGCTGGTGCCTTTCTTCAGAGAGGTCAGTTAACGCCAGATTATCTTTTGCCTAACAGATATTCTACTGCATTTCTCGTATTTGCAAAAAGGCCACTCATTCTAGTTAAAGTGTTGACCTTCAGAAACCCTCACTCAGTACTTGAAAACAGCAGCTCACATCATCGCATTTAGTAATATGTGACAGACATGAGTAACAGGAAGGGAAACGACTTTTATTACTGCCACCTACTGCATGTACATTCTTGGAATCTTTACCAGAACTCTCTAATGCGATTGACAGGAAGGGGAGGGGGAGACTGAAGCAGTCCTCTCTCCCTCATCTGTGCTGTTGAGTGAGCATTTGTCATAAACACTGCATCCTCTTCTCAGGATACAGTGCCTTTGTTTTGTTTTTGTTGTATTCCTAGTTGTAATAAATGAGAGACAAGACAGATGATAAGCCAGAATTCATGTTACTTTGTGAAAATAAAAGAACGCAGGGTGACTAATGAAGCAACAATTTCAACCTTAAAATCTCTGTTATTGTTCCTCTCCAATTGGAGATAGGGAAGAGCAATACGAATGGAAGCAGAATAAATTCTGGTCCCTCGGGGGTAGCTTGGATTGCAATAACGAGGGCTTACTGATGTTTGCATTTTGAAGTTATAATTTATTAGGTAATAGATGGGGGAAAATAGTGTGATTAAAAAGTTACAGCATTTCATTATGAGTAATTATGATACTAATTTGCCATACTTCCTAAATAAACAGTTGTCAAAATACAAACTACAGGGTGTGTTGAATTTTTATCACTTAAGTAAACAATGATGCATTACTGAAGTGCTCATTTAATTTCAAAGGAAGTATTTTATCTTCTGCACTGTAGCTTTCAACTCATCTGTCAGGAAATGTTTAAGTTTAGTCTATCATAGTTACAAGAACTGTTCTACCAAAGAGGCTATAAAATCCACTCCAGTAAAAAGCTGGATGTTCTTTTTGAAAACTCCACACTGGGGTTGGTACTTGTCCTAGTGGTTGAGCCTGTCCCATCCCACGAGGGAGTACCTGGGTTTGATTCCTGCCTCCAGCTCCTCAGGGCAACTTCATGTAAATACAGACCCTTAGAGGCAACTGTGCTGATTCAAATAATTGGGTTCCTGCCACCTGCAAGGGAGACTTGGATTGAGTTCCTGGCGCCTGATTTTGTCTGACCCAGCCACAGACATTTCTGGCATTTGGGGAGTGAACCAGCCAATGAGAATACTCTCCTTCCTCCAAATCAAATACGCAAGATGTATGCTTTTTTCCAATTATTTGAGTATTGTTTTTACTGGAACCCACTAATGCTCAGATAATTACCAAATTCTACACTCAGCAATCCTTGGAAACTATGTACCTGGTATCTTAGGTTAATTATTCATAATTTACTGAAAGATTAATGGATTAAATCATAAACAGGCTTTCTTAAGACTTCAATGTTTATTAATATTCTTTATTTTGAATTACTTTATATCCTTTACTTCAGCTGCATCAATTTCTTGATGTCCAAAACCACATTCTAATAAATCATTTCTTAAGAAGCAGGTTTATGAACTTCCCAAGAAACTCGGTTTTCTGTGAATTTGAAATTGTGCTGCTGATTTCTTTCCATTTTGTTTTTATGTTTTTTTTTTTTTTTAATTTGAAAGGCAGTGCATTGGGTTGGTGATAGAGTACTCTTGTCATCCATATGCCCTGGACAGCTGGGGACTCCCTAGGCTGAATTCTGATCCAGGAATCCCTTTTTATTTTTCTTTATTGAAGTATACTTAATAAATCATGTACATGAAATATGCAAAGTGATATTAGTACATGAATACAGTGTGGAATGATTACCAAAATCAAACTAATTAACACATCCATTAATCACATAGGTAAATTTTTTTGTCTGTTTGGTTAGAACTCTTAAGATCATTTATCTTCATAAATTTAAAGAATACCATACAGTATCATTAAATTTGCAGACAGTGCTCCACGTTATATCTCCAGAACTTGTTCTTCCAACATAACTATCTTCTTCCCTTTAATAACATCTCCCCATTTCCTCCGACCTGAGCCTGGATAACCACCTTTTAACTCTCAGCTTCTACTGAGTTCAGCAGGTTAGATTTCACAGTTAAGTGAGAAAAGAAAATGCAGTTTTTATCTTTCTGTGCTTGGCTTATTTTACCTAACATCATGTCCTCTGACTGCATTCATGTTGTTGCAAATGGTAGGATTTCCTTATTTTTTAAGGCAGAGTAATATGCAATTCTGTCTGTGTGTGTGTGTGTGTGTGTGTATAAAACAGTTTCTTATCAGTTCAGCTATTGGTAGACACTTAATTTTCTATATGTTGGCTGTTGTGAACAATGCTGCAATGAACGTGGAATACAAAAACTTTATGAAGGAATATATTATTTCCTTCGGATACATACCCAGGACAGGGGTTACTGAATTACATTGTAGTTGTATTTTTAATACCTAAAGAAATCACCATGCTGTTTTTATAATGATATCATAAATCTTACATTCCTACTCCTAGTGTACAAGGGTTCCTTTTTCTCCACATCCTGGACAGTGTTTAATATTTTTGATCCTTGGCAATATTTCATTGTTGATATTGGGAATGACCCCCTAAATTTTATACAAAAATGTGGCCCTTTAGAGTTCCCCAGAAGTGCTATCTGGGGTGCCACATATGCTACCAGAATTTGGGGTGCCATATGATATCACTATATGCTTATTAATAAGTCTTCAATATTAACAAGCATGAGAGGGTTCTTGCCTAATATTTAGAGAAGAATTTTAAATACTGGCACAGATAAACAAGACAGCATGGTACCTTTTAGGCTTTTATTTAGTGCAAAAGGTGCATAGGAAAGTGAGAGCTTTATTTAAGAGAGAGAGGTAAATCTGGGTTCATACCGAGCACCAGGAGCCAGCCACGTGGAGGAGCATCTAGGCCAGGAAACCTGGAGTGGGTGGACAGAAGGCCACGTGCCTGGGAGGTGCAGGGCTACAGCTAGCCCCCTCCTGGCAAGAGGCCAGGGAAAAGAGAAGGGCGGGACACACTGGGTCGCAGGCTTTTAACCCACTTCCAAAGGGGTGTGGTTAATTAACCTGATTGGCCGGTGGGCACTCATGTGTGGCCTGGGAGGGGCATGATGTCACACAGGGCCGTGGTGAAGGTATCAGGTAGGGCATGAGGTCACACAGGGGCATGGTGAAGGCGTGGTTTTCAGCAAACCTATTTGATTTTAGCCTGTGTGCCTGCCTACTTCAGTGTGACTTCTATTGTGCTTTCCTGATATGTAATGATTCTAAGCATTTTTTCATTCACCTGTTGGCCATTTCATGTCTTTATTTATTTATTTTATTTTATTTTTTGACAGGCAGAGTTAGACAGTGAGAGAGAGAGAGAGAGAGAAAGGTCTTCCTTTCCTTTGGTTCACCCCACAAGTGGTTGCTAAGGCCAGCGTGCTGTGCCGATCCGAAGCCAGGAGCCAGGTGCTTCCTTCTGGTCTCCCATGCGGGTGCAGGGCCCAAGCACTTGGGCCATCTTCCACTGCTTTCCTGGGCCACAGCAGAGAGCTGGCCTGGAAGAGGAGCAACCGGACATAACCGGCGCCCCGTTCGGGACTAGAACCCGTGGTGACAGTGCCGCACGTGGAGGATTAGCCAAGTGAGCCACGGCGCCGGCCTTCATGTCTTCTTCTGAGATCCAATTCAAGTCTACATTAGTCAGCTTTTGGTTACCTTAACTAAAATACCTGAGAGAAGGTAAATTACAAAGGAAGAGGTTTTCAAAGTTTGTGGCCCAAGGTTTGGGTGGCCCCATTGATCTGATGTCTGATTCGGGTTATTGATAGTGGAATATGCATGGGGTGGGGGAGGTTCACCTGGTGTGCCAGGAAGCAGAGAGGGTGCAGTTGTCTCCAACTCAGCTTTTGTAACCAGTTGTCCTGTGAGGACTACTTTTGGAAGGCACACTTCAGTGACCTAAAGATCTCTCATTGGGCCTACCTCCTAGATTCCATAATTAGATCAAATCGCTACACTTAATTCATCAGCTGTTAATATTAACCCATTAACCATTAACATAATTCTTAAGAGACCAAATTCCCAATACAGGTGTCTTTGGGGACATCCAAACTACTCTCCAGCCATAGCAGTATCCTTTGCCCATTTTTAAAATAGGGTTTAATTGAGTTTTGTTTGGCAGACACACTCCTTTAATGCACATTGCATAACTAACACATTGTATGGCTAATGCATGGTTATAGCTAGAAATAGCCTGCAACTATTTTACATTACTTTTATGGAAAGCATACCTGGATCCCGTTGACACTTTAGATTAGTAAGAATATACCAGTTCTGAAAGTGATTTTCATTTAGGAATTGGGTATTTAAAGAGAGATTTAGTCAGGAAGTGCTCCCCCAAGACTTCAAGACATATTCTCAGTAAACTAAGCATCCTTACCTTACTGTAAAATGTACTTTTATTCTGCCTCTCTCTCTCTCTCTGTAATTTTGCCACTCAAATAAATAATCTTTAAGAAAGTATACTTTGAACATTTATCGAAGAGTCTAAATAAACTCTGTCTCACCAAATCACAATCTATGAATATCAGTCTCTCACAGTAGATAACAAAAGCAGAGAAGTACATAAAGAGATCAAGTATGTCAGATAATCCATAAATAATAAAATTGAAACCCTCCTGCCCACACACTCATATACACGCACCAGGATATTCAAGCTGTGTTGTTGGTGGCAGTTTTGTTTTCCCCAGTGATATTGATGTGAGAAAAATTCCTGA